AGTGATAATACAGTCAGGTCTGAGGCTGGACCTGGGGTAGCTAAGACGAACAGGAGGGAAAAGTACAAAGTTAGAGATTGAGTTATGTATTCCGGGAATTGGACCAGTTTGGTCATGTGTCCTATTCCTCGCCCACAATCAACTTATAGTTAAACTTGTTGTTAATAATAAATATCACTTCCAAACTTTCCAGCCTGGTTTCAGGGCCTTGCACTTGCCTAGGTTCCTAATCAAATTTCCATAGGTAATTTTTCTTTGAGGGCTCAACTTGCTTCCCTCTTTCCCTCTCTCCAAAACATATTATATAGGAAGAATTCTTTTTCTCAAGCAGGGCCTTAATCTCTTATTTCTGGTAGTGATAGCTGCTTCCAAGTCATTGCCTTTAAAATCATATCTAAAAATCTATCTTCATCTTTCCCTTCTGGACCTCCTTTAGATCAAACATTTACACCACTCGTTCAAGGTTGGTCATGCTATTTACTTTGTTTTGCTGAATGTTTGGGTTTCTCTGAGTCTATTTTTCTTCAGCAAGTAGGGAACCCAGAGACAGGGACCTTCTTCATCCTCACTACCCTAGTCTCTTAGGACATAGCTCTGTCCACCTACCTGATTATTTACAAGCAGCTTCCAAAGTGAGTGGTTCATTAACTGAGGGCTGGGACTGTTTGTATAGGGATGGGAGGGACTAACTCAGACTATAGTGCTGCCAAGAATCTGACAGGGCTTCAGAGAGAGAAGTGATACAAAGATTTAGAGCTAGAAATCACCTTAGCTGGCATTTATAGATGAGGAAACAAGCCAGAGAAACGGGATAACTTGCTACTTGGTGGCTGAGACAAGTGTTTGACTCCCAGACAAGTGGTAACCTAAGATTGAGAGTCACATCTGTCAGGAAAGAAGAAATGTTATGGTGAGTTAGCCTGGAGACATTTCAGGGAAGACAGGTCAGAGAAATAAAATAGCATCCAGTGTTATTCCGCCACCCCACATCCCACTACCACCACTTCAACTCCTCGGAGGAAAGAACAAGAGTTTAAAGGAAGAACTTTGATCAGGAGGCTTGATTCTAAAACACAGAAATGGATTTGGACTTTGTGAGGTGTAAAGGAGGGCAGAAGGCATTCATATTATGAACTACGGTATAAATAATGCCCCCTAGTTTTAAACAGTGTACATACAGCCTGCACCATCATACATGGTAGCCTTGATTATTGATCTAGTTTTTCAGGCCATATATCTAATGGGATAAAAAATTAAGAATTCTATATATAGAAATTATGTAAGATAGTTTAACAGCTTGTGTTCCTCAAATATGTATTTTTGAGACCAAATCTCCATAGTGAAGTAAAAAGTTAAGTACGAATTATTTTCTTTCAAAAAATAAATTTAAATCCTTGTTAATTTCTATAATCCCTAAAACTCTTTCAAAACTCTTTAATATCTTGGTTATCATATTTGCAAAACTCAAACTTCTACCTACCTACCATAGCCTTGTTTAAAAGGTATTATATACATTTAACATGTTAGACTATTTAAACTTTTTTTCTGTTAGTGAAAAACCAAGGAGGAAGTGAGACATCCTTTCTGGTGAATGCTGAGTGTTTCTGATTTTTTTTTTAACTGACTGAATTTTTCTCCACCATGCGATTGAAACACTTTCTCACGGTCAACAGTGACCTCCCATTACCAAGTGCAGTGACTTTTACAAATCCTTCCTGCATTCTAATGTCTCTGTAGCATCTGACTGCTCTTTGGTCATTTTTCTGATGCTGTCTTTATTCTCATATGCTATGACACACTACACAATTCCAGTTTTTCTCTCTCTCTCTGACAGTGTATTAGACTACCTTGAGACTATCTTTGTCTTCATGTCCCTTGAGCCCTGGTATTTAGCCCCTTGAGACTTTTAACCAGAAGTATGGTCAAAAGTTTGGACTGGCTTAGAGGAGAGCTCTAGCGGCAAGAACACGTATGAAAGAATTAGTCTAGTTTTCTTTATTTGACTGAGTAGACCTAGATTTTCTGTTGCTAAAAGCAAATAATAATGATCTTTCCCTCAAAGATTTCCACATATAAAATTTTAATTTAAGTTTTTAGATACAATTTACTGAATTTTCAGGTTTTCTCCTTTAAATATTTTATACTTTTGATATACTCAGTAGCCTATCTAGAAATGAGTACAAGCAAATAAAACAAATGAACAAGTTCACAAGTATTTTATGGTGTACTGCATAATGCATCTTAGCTCAAATACTTCATCACCTGAACTGGTAGAAGGATCACTCTTCCAACCCACAGACCTGGCCCTTGAAGTTGGGCGCACTTTCAGTTCAGTCCCATACTCCTAAAGTCAGGCTCCAAAATGTCAGTGATCTGGCCTCAAACTTCCTTCTCATCCAACTGCTAGAAACTGGAGTTCCCAAGAGGAAATAAACCAGAAGGGAAAGGGGTTTAAACAACACCCTGAGGAACAATTGAGGAAGCCTGTGAAAAAGAGTTGGTACAGAGCATGTGAAAGATGTCTTCAAATATATGTGAAGAGAAATTATATATGCTATGAGTACAGAAGGCCAATCTAAGGCCAGTGGGAAAAGTTCTGATGGAGCTATTTTATTTTATTTTTTATTTATTTTTTAATTAATTAATTAATTTATTTTTTATCCTCACCCGAGGACATTTTTCCTTTTTTTTTTTTTTTTGTTCAGGTAGAGTGGGAGGGAGAGAGAGGAACAGAGAGAGAGAGAAACATCGACGTGAAAGGAACACATCGAGTGGCTGCCACCTGCATGACCGACCAGGGCCAGGGACAAACTGCAACCGAGGTACGTGCCCTTAGCGGAAACCGAACCTGGGTCTCTCTGGACCGCAGGCCGACGCTCTAACCTCTGAGTCAAACCGGCCAGGGCTGATGGAGCTATTTTATTTTATTTTATTTTTTATTTATTTTTTTTTTTTTATCCTCACCCGAGGATATTTTTCCATTTTTTGTAGAGATAGAGTGGGAGAGAGAGAGAGGAAGGGAGAGAGAGAGAGAGAAACATCGACGTGAAGGGACACATCGAGTGGCTGCCACCCGCTCGACCAACCAGGGCCGGGGACAAACTGCAACCGAAGTACGCGCCCTTAGCGGGAACCGAACCCGGGTCTCTCCGGACCGCAGGCTGACGCTTTAACCGCTGAGCCAAACAGGCCAGGGCTGATGGAGCTATTTTAAAATGAAGTTCAGCCTCAGCAAGAGGTCATGAGTTTCTGATTGCTGGAGGTATTCAAGAAGCAGAGGCTAAGTGAACATTTGTCAGTTGTAACAAAAGTGGCTCATCTATTGAGTTGAGACTTGAACTGCCAAATCTAAACAATGCCTTCCTCTCCTTCCTACCTTCTTTTTTAAAGGGAAGAGACCTAATTTGTGCGTGGGAGTCCTAACATAAAAAATGAAGATTCAGCCCTGGCCGGTTTGGCTCAGCGGTTGGAGCGTCGGCCCGCAGTCCAGAGAGACCCGGGTTCGGTTCCCACTAAGGGCACGTACCTCGGTTGCAGTTTGTCCCCGGCCCTGGTTGGTCATGCGGATGGCAGCCACTCGATGTGTCCCTTCACATCGATGTTTCTCTCTCTCTCTCTTCCTCTCTCTCCCTCCCGCTCTATCTGAACAAAAAATGGAAAAATGGCCCTGGCCAGTTTGGCTCAGCGGTTACAGCGTCGGCCTGCGGTCTGGAGAGACCCGGGTTCGGTTCCCGCTAAGGGCACGTACTTCGGTTGCAGTTTGTCCCCGGCCCTGGTTGGTCGTGCGGGTGGCAGCCACTCGATGTGTCCCTTCACGTCGATGTTTCTCTCTCTCCCCCTCCCTCCCTCTCTCCCCCTCCCACTCTATCTGTACAAAAAATGGCAAAATATCCTCGGGTGAGGATAAAAAAAAAAAAAAAAATGGAAAAATGTCCTCGGGTGAGGATAAAAAAAAAAAAAAATGAAGATTCAACCCAGCTGGTGTGACTCAGTGGTTGAGCATCGACCCATGCACAAAAGTCACTGGTTCAATTCCCATTCAGGGCACAGGCCCAGGTTGTGGGCCAGATCCCCAGTGTGGGGCATCCAGGAGGTGGCCAATCGATGTTCTCTCTCATTGATGTTTCTATCTCTTACTCTCTCCCTTTCTTTCTCTCTCAAATCAATAAAAGAAAAAAAAATGAGGATTCAAACACAGGAGCAAAGATAGAATCAGGTAGATAGAACTATAGGTGAGGACACATTGGAACAGGAAGAGAATCAATGACGAGACTACTTGGAAGAGAAATGTAAAGCAGGTAGCTGATGGGAGGGAAGGGTAAAGTGGGGCAAGGCAGAGAAGGACATTAAAGGAGGAGAAGAAAGGCCTGTGTGAGGGAGCAGAGAAGGAAGAGGGTCCGAAGTCTGCAGAACATGGTAGCTGTTAACCCAGAGAGGAAGGCATAAGCCAGAGGATCATTAAATTTCAATTCTTTCTTTTATCTATGTTATGTTTCTATTGATTTTTTTAAAGAGAGAGGATAGGAGAGAGAGAGAGAGATAGAAACATCAGTGTGAGAGAGAAACATCAATCGGCTGCCTCCTTCATGCTCCCTACTGGGAATCTAACCTGCAACACAGGCATGTGCCCTGACCAGGAATCGAACCGGGACCTCTCAGTCCATGGGACAACACTCAATCCACTGGGCCACACTGGCCATGCAATCATTAAATTTCATCAGAGGAACTTAGGTCTAGGCTCTTGTTCACTGAAAGGAAGAACAGACAGAGGAAAGATGACATGCCAATGTAGTGGAAGCAACTTCCCAGCTTAAAAATTGCTCCAAAAAGACAACCTACAGCTTCTTGGTAAAGAGAGTAAAAGCTAATTTAAAATATTTGGAAATGCTTGAAGAAATTCCAGGATTTATTTCTGCTTTTAAGCTATCTTTATACTTTGACCTCTGGAGCATCTTTCCAACTATATCTCTTTAGTCACCAAAGGCATTTCTCCATTTCAGGCAGAGGGCCTCAAGCTATACAAGGATCTGAAGAACTTTCTTAGTGCAGTCAAAGGTGAGTATTATAGCACAGGAGAAAATCCAGAGGGTGTTTATGCAGTTCTTAGGAGGTCTAGGGGATAGAAAAAAACAACAGCTGTACTCAGGGTTTTTAATCACTTGCCTGCCCCTGACTCCTGGAACTTTTTCTATCCCAGCCCCATCCAGCTTCCCTAACTGATAACCCAAACCTTCTCAGTTTGTCCTCCTGAATTGGACCCTCTGATTTGCCTGTCGCCCATATGATTATACCAAACTACTTTTTGGGAAACTTTATAGAGTTCTTTCCTTTCAGTGATGCATGAAAGTTCAAAGAGAGTGTCAGAAACCCTGCAGGAGATCTACAGCAGTGAGTGGGACGGTCATGAGGAGCTGAAGGCCATTGTAGGGGTAAGAGTGTTCTGGGCTTTACTACTCTTCGGATTTCAATCCTGCCCTCATTTCAACATCACCTTAGCTTCTTCATCCAAGCAAATAGGAAAAAAGGAGCCAGTTCACATTGTTCATTTGTATAGCCTCAGTCACAGGTGGAAGAAAATAGCAGCAACTATGAAGGTAAAAACAAACTTTCCCTAATCTGTGGACACCTCCATTTTTTACCCTCTTCCCCCCTTTAAAACATAATGAAGTTTTACCTACTTAAATCCTGACTGGTTGTTTCTGAAAACTAACTTCATGCAGTTATTTACTCCTAAACGTCCCTATCCTTCAAGCACTAGAGTCCAGTACTCTGACCATCTGTTCCTGTTCTTCATCCCTGAATGTATGTCCAACCTCTTATAGGGCAATTTGTTGGGGAAGGGCTGTTTCTTCATCTGATGTATTCCAGTGCTCAAAAAAGGAAGTCTGTTGCAGGAAGATTTGGGGTATTTCCCTGGTATGCAGTTGTTGAGAAGTGGAGCCCTCACCACTCCCCTTCACCTCTGTCCCACAGAATAATGATCTCCTTTGGGAAGACTATGAAGAGAAACTGGCTGACCAGGCTTTGAGGACCATGGAAAACTATGTGGCCCAGTTTGGTGAGATTAAGGTACCTACTCAATTTAGAATCAAGGATGGGTTATGAGTGACCCATATAAGTTAGAAACCATATTGGGTTAAACTTAGAATTAGGGTTAGAGCCCAAGGTTAGGAACAAAGTGGGATAGGTTAAGAGAAGAATTAAAGTTGAGGGTTAGATAAGACATTTGGGTGGAGAGTTAGAGGTAGTATGGAAGTTATCTTGAGACTTAGATTTCAGTGAACTAGATTTGGGCTTGTTTTATTTATTTATTTTTCCTCACCCGAGGACATTTTTCCATTTTTTTGTTCAGGTAGAGTGGGAGGGAGAGAGAGGAACAGAGAGAGAGAGAAACATCGATGTGAAAGGAACACATCGAGTGGCTGCCACCCACACAACGTACCAGGGCCGGGGACAAACTGCAACCAAGGTACGCGCCCTTAGCAGAACTGAACCCGGGTCTCTCCAGACCGCAGGCCGACGCTCTAAGCACTGAGCCAAACCGGCCAGGGCAATTTGGGCTTGTTTTAAATTAGATCCAAGTTGGAGCACCCCTTTTAGTTTGAAACAGCTGATTGGATTAAAAGATGTTTATTGTACACAAGCGGAAGGAGTCATAATAGTTATCCTCAAGTACTTGAAAATCTGTTAGGTGAAAGAGGAAGTGAACCTGCTCTAAACAGTTCCAAAAAGCAGAATTAGAATGCATTCCATTCATATTTATTAAACACCTAGTCTGTTGGGCACTGATTTTATATTAATAGGAAGAAATGAGAGGGAGCCTTAACTTTCTAATAGTTAAAGCTTTCCCAAAATGAAATACACAGTGAGATGGTGGGTTGTCTCTGTTAAAACAAAAATTGAACTAATTCTTAATCTTATCTTGGATATTGTAGAGGCAGTTCATGTATTATATAAGAAGTTGGACCAAACAGTTGCTAAGATCCTTTCAAATTTTGTGACTGTGAGAATGAGAACAGGGGTCAATAACATAGCTGACTTCTTCCTGGTATAATTTATAGTTTGGATGAGATGAGGAGACTTTATCTTAGTGGTCATAATATTTTTATTGTACTTCAGGATTTTTTTTTTCAATGTTTTTATTGATTATTTTAGAGAGACAGGAAAGGAGAAAGAGATAGAAGCATTGATGTGAGAGAAAAACATCAATCAGCTGCCTCCTGCACACCCCCTACTGGAGATCAATACTGAAACCCAGGCATGTGCCCTGACTAGGAATCAAACCCAGACCTCTCAGTCCATGGGATGATGCTCAGTTCACTGAGGCACACCAGCCAGTCACATTTGATCTTTTAAAAAAAATTTTTTTCTTTATTGATTTGAGAGAGAGAGGAAGGGAGAAGGGAGAGAGATAGAAACATCGATGAGAGAGAACATTGATTGGCTGCCTCCTGCATGCCCCCAACTGGGGATTTGGCCTGGGCCAAATCCTAGGCGTGTGCCCTGACCGAGAATCGAACCGGCGACCTCTTGGTGCATGGAACAATGCTCAACCAGTGAGCCACACCAGCAGGGCCAGCATTTGATCTTTAAAATAAGCCCTGGCCGGTTTGGCTCAGCGGTTAGAGTGTCGGCCTGTGGTCCAGAGAGACCTGGGTTCGGTTCCCGCTAAGGGCACGTACTTCAGTTGCAGTTTGTCCCCGGCCCTGGTTGGTCGTGCGGGTGGCAGGCACTCGATGTGTCCCTTCACGTCGATGTTTCTCTCTCTCCCTTCCTCTCTCTCCCTCCCACTCTAGCTGTACAAAAATGGAAAAATATCCTCGGGTGAGGATTGAAAATAAAAAAAAATAAAAAAATAATGCCAAAAGGCAGATGAGGCTACTGAGGCTTCAAAAGAGATGGGCCTTGCCCTGGGTCATAAGACTAATAAATGGCAGTGTTGGGAGTAAAACCCCAAACTCCTGCCTTTCAATTTCATAGAATTCTCAAGATCATTTATCCTGGAGGCTGAACCAGTTTATAGTGAGTTCATAGGAAATATTAATATTTAATGTAAGCTTCCAAGTGCTCTGTAGTATTGCCCTTTACTCTCTCTCCCCTGAGAATTCCCATTCTTTCCAGATAGTGAGGGAGATCCCTTGGGCACAAAACCCTCTTAGAACTTAAAATCTGATAATAGGACCCAGGAATCTTGCCTCTCTCTTTGATACTCTGCTACCTACTCCTGGCCACTGAAAGTATCAAGCCCTTTCTCATGACTCTGGGTTAGGAAAGAATCGCCAAGCGGGGTAGGAAACTCGTGGACTATGACAGTGCTCGACACCACCTGGAGGCGGTACAGAATGCCAAGAAGAAAGATGAGGCCAAGATCGCCAAGGTAAAAAAAAAAAAAAAGCCTGATAAAACTTCCCTGGCCATGCTAGGGTTTGGAAATTATAAATTCAACATCCAGTGTCCTGAAAGAAGTCCTGTTTCCTTTGACAATGATGCTGTAAGGATAGCCAGAGAGTCAAGGCTGTGGAGGGTGTGGGTCTGGAGAAGGAGAGGCATGATTCCAAGTAAGCCTAGTCCCTGCAAAAATGCAGAGGATAAAAGAAGCAGCTTCTATCCTGGGGTTCAGAATTGAGAGGGATTGTCTTTTTTGCCACCTAGGCAGATGAAGAGTTCAACAAAGCTCAGCTTGTGTTTGAAGATCTGAACCAGGAACTGCTAGAGGAGCTCCCTGTTCTTTATAATAGGTAATGAACTGAGATTCAGGAAAGTGCTGGACTTCTGGGCTAGTGGACAACCTGGCAACCCAAACATGTCACCTCATGGAAAAAAGTGTCCAAGAGTGGGATGTAGCCTTAGCCTGGTTACTAATTTGCTATGTAATATTAGGCAAGCTGCCTTATCATTCTAGACCCTGGTTTCTTCATCTGTAACAGAGATAACCATCCTTGCCCTGCCAGCTTTTCCGGGTTTAAAGACAAGATGCTTCTTGGATAGGAGAGAGCTTGGCAAGTAAAGTGCTGTCATCATGCATACTAAGAGTATCTGGTTTCATGACACAAGGGTGTATTGTTTTAAGCAAGCTTAGTTTGTGACCATCTAGATTTACACAAATATATCATGGGATGATCATTTCCATTAATGAAGATCTCTTTGCTTCACAGTAGGTAGAAGTGTTTTAGATGTAAACTTTTTACAGTGGAAGAGGAATCTGAGCAGAAATTCTGTTTGTATTCTATTTTCTTTTCACTGTACAAGATATGCTTTAATATAATAGTAGCCAGTGTATTTCATATTGTCATTTAATATTAGGCTACATATGATGGAGCCTTTAATTTTTTTATTTTAATTGTATTTTTATTGATTTTTTTTTTTTTTTAGAGAGAGAGGAAAGGAGAGAGAGATAAACATCTATGTGATAGAGATACATTGATTAGCTGCCTGTATACACCCCCTACTGGGAATCGACCTCAAAACCCAGGCATGTGCCCTGACTAGGAATTGAACCAGGACTTCTCAGTCCATGGGATGATGCTCAGTCCACTGAGCCATACCGGTTGGGCATGATAGAGCCTTTTAAATAAATATATGTGTTCTAAAACATTATGTGACTTAATTTAAATAGAATTTAAATTGAATAGTTTCTTGAATGTAAACTTTTCCAATTCATTTCCAGTAGAATTCCATTAATGTATATACAGCTTCATAGAAGTCCAATATTGCATAATGAGAAATAATAATTACTTATTATAATAATTATAATTGTATGGCCTTATATTTATTTTTTAAATTTACATATAATATCCTTTTTTCTTTTTTTGTATGGCCTTATATTTACATAGCACTTTTAAAATTCTTCATGCCTGGCCAGTGTGGCTCAATGGTTGAGTGTTGACCCATATACCAAAAGGTCGCCAGTTTGATTCCCGGTAAGGGTACATGCCCAGGTTGTGAGCCAGATCCCCAGTAGGGGGCATGCAGGAGGCGGTCAGTTGATGTTCTTATCAATGTTTCTATCTCTCTCTCCCTCCCCCTTTCTCTCTCTTCAATAAATCAATAAAGAAAAAAATTTTTTTTAATAAATAAAAATTCTTCAAAGCACTTTACTGTCTGCTTCACTACCTAAAGAGCCTGAATCAGATAACTTCATGCAGCTAGAGATCTGTTATACTTTGATGTCAGCCTGGGCTGAGTGTCGCCTCTGGCTTCATTCCTGAGAGTTGGTTGTGCTCCTGGGCTGGCTCTGATAAATCAGATCCCAGAACATCCTGAGACACAAGATGTAGGGTGCTTTTCTCTGAGGAGCCTTCTTGATAGCTGGCTTTCGCTAAAGCTCCTACCTTGTGTCTTCAAACAAAGACTTTCTTTACCAACCCTTACCTGTATGTTTGTTGTTTTGCCTCCTAATAGTCGTATTGGCTGTTATGTGACCATCTTTCAAAACATTTCCAACTTGAAGGACGTCTTCTACAGGGAAATGAGCAAGGTGAGACACAGCTGGTCAATTTAGACACCTCGGTGGGTTTTTCTAATAAATATGAAAGTAGTTCTAATTTACATAATCATTAAGTATCCATATCAGCACCACAGATTTTACCCCTTTCTCATGATGAAATAATAGCACTTGATTAACTATATTGATCATATTAAAGCATATATATATATATATATATATATATATATATACACACACACACACATACAGCAGAGGGCCCTTTCCATTTCCATTAACAGCTGAATAATAGCATCCAAACTTGAACTTCAGATGAATAAAGGAGGTTAGGCCTATGGAAGGAACAGCTTGAAATGAGCCAAGTTGTGAAATCTCTATCTTTGGTTGCTACAGAGTAGAGAGGGCAGTGTTTAAGTACATGTCAGTTTCTTTTGTAGTTAGTTGGTCTTGAATAGAGCCAGTCCTATTCAGTGACAGGCAGCCACATAACATGACCTCATGGGGTCTTTTCTAGTCCTGGGATTCCAAGACTCTTGGCTGTTATTAACTATATTCACATCCACATCCACACATGTTCCTCTCCACAGTTACTCTGACTAAATTATGATTTGCTTAATTAATATTACAATTATTTTTCATTCCCTGGATCACCTAAGAGAAGCTAGAACCTCAAATCAAACATCAAGGACCTAGCCTTAAGAAAGCCAGCCTGATGGAAGAGGCAGAACTTAAGAAGGGAGCCCAGCTGGTGTGGCTCAGTGATTGAGCGTTGACCGATGCACCATGCCCAGGTCACAGGCCAAATCCCCAGTGGGGGGCATGCAGGAGGCAGCCAATCAATGTTCTCTCTCATTGATGTTTCTATTTCTTTCCCTCTCTAAAATCAATAAATAGTCCAGCTGGTGTGGCTCAGTGGTTGAGCATCGACCCATGCACCAAGAGGTCACTGGTTCGATTCCTGGTCAGGACACATGCCCAAGTTGTGGGCCCGATCCCCAGTGGGGAGCATGCAGGAGGTGGCCAGTTGATGTTCTCTTATCGATGTTTCTATCTCTCTCTCCCTCTCTCTCTAAAGTCAATAAAGGAAAAAAAAATTTAATCAACAAAGAAAAAAAAGGTTTTTGTTAAAAAGAAGGAAGTCAAGGAAGAAGGGGTGGTAGAACAGGACCCTGCAAAAGAGATGAGGAATTTTATAGTTAAAGATCAGGAGGTTTTATTTTGGGGAGCTGTCTGAAAGAAAGTAGAGAAGGGATATGCCAGTCTCCGGTTCCATCTGACTAGCATCCCCTTCTCTCTTGCTGGCTCTAGCTAAACCACAATCTCTATGAAGTGATGAGCAAACTGGAAAAGCAACATTCCAACAAAGTCTTTGTGGTGAAGGGACTACCAAGGTGAGCAACTTCTGAGATTCTTTCCTCTTTCACTTGTCCTGTGTGTGAACATATTTAATTTTTAATCCCAAATCCTAGCCTTTCCTTTCTGCTTACATGCATGATATTGTTTTTTATTACACCCCTATATAAATTATTTTACCTTTTATGAAATATTTCAGCTATAACTACAGTTATAAAGAATAATACAACAAATATTCATATACCTACCACCAAATTTAAGCAAACAACTATTTTATATATATATATATAATTGAAGCTCCCAGTATCCCTTCCCCCACTCACTTTCCACCAAAAATAATCACTATCTTAAATTTAGTATTTATTATCCCCATGCATGTCTTTTTACTATGACTGTACACATATATACAAACAGAAAACATTATTTTACATGTTTTGCAACTTTATGTAAATAGAATTATACTGTATGTACTCTTTTGCAACTTCTTTTGTTCCCTTAGTATTGTTTGTGAGACTTATTTATTCTTGTTCTGCCTTGCTAGCTCTGTTCTTTCCATATTATTATGGATGCTGTTTTATGGCTAGTTCACAATTTATATATCTCTCCTCCTGCTAATGAATATTTGGTTTGTTTTCCTGTTTTTGCTATTACAAATAATGGTACAGTGAACATGTTTCATATTTCTCCTTGTGAATATTATCAGGAGTTTCCTTAGGCTGTGTATAGGGAGTGGCATTGCTGAGTCGTAGAGTCTGTGCATTTGGGCTTCTTGGGCCTTACTAGACATTACCATTGCCAAATTGTTCTACAGAGTAATTGTTTCCATTTACAACTCACCAACAGTGACTAAAAGCCCCCATTGCTCCATATTCTTGCTATGTGTAACATTATCAGACTTCTTAATTTTCAAGCTAATGGGTATGAAATGTAATTTTTTGCTGTTCTAATTCACATCTCCACAACTGCCGGTGAGCTTGAACATCTTTTCTTGTTATTAGCCATTTAAGATTCCTATTCTGTAACTCTACTGTTTATCCTTTCTTCAAATTTTTCGTTTGGATTGTTTACCCTTTTTAAAAACATTTATTTTTATGAAGTTTGGGTTTTTTTTATATTCTGGATATTAATTCTTTAATGATATGGATTGCAAATGTCCTTTTTCAATCTGTTATGGGTTGATTTTCCCCTTTTTTTCTTCTTCTTTTTTTGTGGTGTCTATTGCCTTCATACATTCTTTATCCTGGTAAGTGTAAGCAATTCACTGGTCCCTCAGAATGTGATCACTTTCTTATTCTGAAGTCTTTATTCAGGAAGTTTATTAAGTTTCTTCTATGTGTAAGCTTTTATGCTGAGAAATAGGGATCCAAAGACATAAGAGATTTGTCCTTTCCCTAAAGTGATTTACAAAAAGTTGAAAGGACAGAGAAAGTGCATAAGGAGACAAGGAACAATATAAACTTGCACATACAAAGTGCCTAATGAGACCAAAGGGCCTAATGAGATTGGTAGGAATTCCAGAGAGGTAAGCAATTGCCAATGTACAGATGGCCTAGGGAGGCTTTAAGGAGATGGTGAACTTGAACTTGAGACTTGAAGGAAGAATAAGGCTCACATCTGTTGCTTGTACTACTCATTTAGCAATTAGTTACAGACTATTACAAAGAATCACTAAGGAGACAAAGTAGGCTTCCTATGAGAAGTCCCTTTTGCTCCAAAAACTCACTCCCTTCTTTTCCCAATATTGAAAGCCATAGTTTTCTCTAATTGTCCATCCATCTGAAACTTACCAATACTTACACCAAGATGTCTCAGAACCTTGAAGGGAAATCTGGTATTTCCTTGCTGTGTCCTGGGCCTTCTAAACTTACTGACCTCTAAAAAATAAAAATAAAAAAAATAAATAAATAAACCTACTGACCTCTAAAATTATAGTGCTAGAAAGAACCTTATATCACTCAGTTTATGTCATATGAGAAACTCCCTTAGATGAACATTTTTTTTTTATCCTCACCTGAGGACATTTTTTGATATAGAGTGGGAGAGGGAGAGAGAGAGAAAGAAACAGCGACGTGAAAGGGACACATCGAGTGGTTGCCACCCACACGACCCAGCCAGGGCCGGGGACAAACTGCACCTGAGGTATGTGCCCTTAGCGGAACCGAACCCGGGTCTCTCCAGACCGCGGGCCGACGCTCTAACCGCTGAGCCAAACTGGCCAGGGCCATTTTTTTTTTACCTCTTTGTCTTCCTATCCCCATCTCCCATCCTTGTGCCCAGAACACAATACATAGTTGGTACCTGTCAAGTAAATTATTGTGGGTTGCTTAATCAGTTGGTGAATAGTACATAGGAGACACTTAGGAGGCGAGGAGTTAAGTTGATGATGGCTTTAGAAGCACCCAGCACAGTATCCAGCATTCTTAATAAATGTTACAGCTGGCCCTGGCCGGTTTGGTTCAGCGGTTAGAGCGTCGGCCTGCGGTCCTGAGAGACCCGGGTTCGGTTCCCGCTAAGGGCGTGTACCTCAGTTGCAGTTTGTCCCCGGCCCTGGTCGGTTGTGCGGGTGGCAGCCACTCAATGTGTTCCTTTCACATCGATGTTTCTCTCTCTCTCTCTCTCTGTTCCTCTCTCTCCCTCCCACTCTACCTGAACAAAAAATGGAAAAATGTCCTCGGGTGAGGAAAATAAATAAATAAATAAATAAATAAATGTTACAGCTGATTTTTGTTATTCACGGTAGTTATGTTCTATAAATTCACCAGGAGCACTGAATTAGCGAATATTGAACCATTGCTCTTAGGGGAAACACAGGGTCAGGTTTCTGGTAGCCCTTGGTCCCAACATTTTCATCAATTGATCAGTACATAACCTTGTCTTCTGTGTACTTCTATTTATTTCATATGTATATTCTTAATTCATTAATGTTGAACTCACAGCCAACAGTACTATGTAACTCATGCCTGAACAAAGCTTATGTAACATACATAGTTTCTCTCTGTAAGGCACATCACAGTCTTTTGCTCTTAGCACTACACTTGGAAGTCATTTTATTTTTATTTATTTATTTATTTTGTTAATCCTCACCAGAGGATTTTTTTTTTAGATAGAGTGAAAGAGAGGGAGGGACAGAGAGAAACATCAATTGGTTGCGACTGATTGCATCCCACACAAGCGCAACCCAGGCGGGTGCCCTTGACTGGGAATCAAACCCAGGACCCTTCAGTTGGCTGGCCGATGCTCTAACTGCTGAGCAAAACCAGATAGGGCACTTGGAGGTCATTTTAAACAGCAAAAGCTCTAACAAAAATTACAGCAATGTAAAAAGCATGGCAAAAGGACATATTTACAGAATGAGAGCTGAAACAAGGCAGAATATTTCCTTGTTGGACCTCAGCTGAGAAATTGCTGTCGGGCACTGATTTTTCACAATTTCGTGTCTGTGGATGACCATGAAATCATCATCACAAATACTGATTTTTGGTTAAAAGTAAATTTTAGGGAGTCAGTGAATTTGCAAATGCAGAATCCATGGAGATTAACTATATATCACCCATGAATCTTTTCCCCAGAGAAAATATTTTGTTAGTATGTTGCTGTTACTTTCCAGTCTCTTTTTCTTTATATATTTTTACATAATTGAGATTGTGATATAGCCTTTCATACTCCACTTGATAACATAAGCATTATTGAAAATTATACAAACTTTCTAGTATCATTTTAAATTACTTTATTCTGTTTTATTATTCTGTAACAAGCATCATTATTTGGGGGTATTTAAAAATACCCAATAAAACTTCCAGTTTTTAGCTCTTATGAATCTAAATGTCCTTCATGTTTTTTAGCAGCAGCAGACGCTCTTTAGTCATCTCTTCCCCAGTTCGGACATCTGCAGCCTCCAGCCCTCTCACCTCACCTACCAGTCCCTCTGCACTCTCCTTGACGAGTGAGAGGGACTCCACCTCAGCAAGTGAAGAAGAGCTAGCATCTGATCTAGCCCAGGGAGAAAACAACTCGGAGATTAAAGAAGAGCCTTTAAAAGAAAAGGAAATAGAAGAAGAAGAGGCTAAAGCAAGCTCCTCTGAGGAGGGAGAGCCTCAGCCAGCCTGCAATGGCCCTACCCAGGCCCAGCCCTCTTCTACCACTGAGGGTGGCGAGACCCAAGAGAAGGATCCCCCTGGCTCCCCAACTCCATCCCCAGACAGAGCCCGAATCCCTTCAGAGCAGTCTTCATCTTTCCCAGAGGTTGTTCTCCGAACCCGAACCTCAAGTGAAGGGTCTGAACAACTGAAGAAGAGAGCCTCTATCCAGAGGACCTCAGCACCCCCTAATAGGCCTCCTCCACCCAGAGCCACTCCCAGCCCTAGGACCTCCACGGGGAACATACCCTCCAGTCCTACAGCTTCTGAACAGGGTTCACCCACTAGCCCCAGAGCCTTCTTGGGGGCTGGGACCCCAAGTCCTAGTCCTAGGGCCACTTCGGAGGTTTCTCTTGATCCACAGCCACCAGAGAAGCCAGTTAGAACTCCTGAGGACAGAGAAAAGGAAAACATCGACAATCTGAACCCAGAACTTTGTACTTCCCCCACCTCAATGATCCCTCAGGTGAGAATGCATCTGATGAAGTCTCTGTTCTCTTTTATAACCTCTATGTAGATCATCTTTACTGTAGCCATGTTGTTCCACAGTTGATCAGATTTTATGTCTTTATGTTATAGTCTCAAGGATACTCTTGATCACCTTTTTTTGGTTCTCAGGATTATTTCACATCTTCAAAGCAATTTAGAGATCTATACTGTTAGGGTAACTGACTTCTGCAGAGGGCTTATCTCTAATATTATGAGAAGATTTCTACTAATTTCCTTTTTTTGCTCCAAGTTCTAATATAAAGACTCTACAACTGACATCCTGAGCTTTACTTTTTTGAATACGGGGTGGGGAACAGGGTCTTACTTCAGTTTGTCATACTTGTGACTATGGTAAATAGACCTCAACCAAAATGGCATTAGCAAATTTCCAATCATTTCTTTAGTAAGAAAGACCTAGAAGAAGAACCTCACAGAGAAAGGAAAGCAAAAGAAATGGTCTTTTGAAAGATGAGAATATGGATGAGAAAAGAATTGTGTTAAAATAGAGACACAGACCCTCTGGAGAGTAACCAGTTCTGTGGAGAATTCGGATATCAAGTCATATTCTGTTCAGATTATATAGAAAGGCTATCATAGAGAGATTTGATGTCTTCTGTGAGATTCCTGAGGGTAGAACAAGGCCCTATGTGTAAAGATTGTTTTAAAGTACATTTTGGATCAATACAAGGGGAACTTTTAGCAGTTAATTCTGTTAAAAAAACAGTATGGAAAACTATTTTTTGAATATAAGAGAAAGGGTACACAAGGGGCTTCCAAACACCAAAATGGGATGGGCCTTCCTAAATGTTAAAAACTAAGATATATGATCATCTGTTAGAGGCATTATAGAGATCTAATCCGAGATATCTGTCTAGATCGTACCAAGATTCATTCATTCATTCATTCATTCCACAATTACTTATTGAGCCCTTACTAAGTACCAGGCACTTTTCTAGGAGGTGGGGTATTACAGTGAACAAAACATAAAATTCCTTGCCTTTCTGCATCTTATATCCTAGTAGAGAATTAAAGAAGATAAACACAAAACAGAATAAATAGGTAAAATTACAATTAGTGATGGTAAGAGATGTGGGAAAAAATTAAGTAGGGGAAGGCACAGGGAATAGGGGCTGAATTGCATTTTATTTTATTTTTTAAATATGTTTTTATTGCCCAGCCAGTGTGGCTCAGTAGTTGAGCGTCGATCCATGCACCAAAAGGTCGCAGGTTCAATTCCTGGTCCAAGCGCATACCCAGGTTGCAGGCTCGCTCCCCAGTGAGGGGTGTGCAGGAGGCAGCCGATCGATGATTCTCTCTCCCATTGATGTTTCTGTCTCTTTCTCCCTTTCTCTCTCTGTTTAAAATATATATATCCCTGGCCGGTTTGGCTCAGCAGTTAGAGCGTCAGCACCTGGACCAAAGAGTCACGGGTTCGATTCCAGACAACGGCACATACCTTGGTTGCAGTTTGGTTCCCGGCCTGGTTGGGGTCATGCGGGAAGCAACCAATTAATGTGTCTCTCTTGCATCAATGTTGCTCTCTCTCTCTCTCTCCCTCCCACTCTATCTAAAGATAAATGGAAAAATATCCTTGGGTGAGGATTTAAAAAAAAAAAATTATATATATATATATATTTTAATTCCTCAAGGATTTTAGAGAGAGGAATGGAGAAGGAGAGAGAGAAAAACATCAACGGGAGATAGATACATTGATTAGCTGCCTCCTATGAGATTGAGCCCACAACCTGGGCATGTACCCTGACTGGGAATCGAACTGGTCACCTCTCAGTGCATGGGATGATGCTCAACCAACTGAGCCACACCTGCCAGGGCTCAATTGCAGTATTAAACAGAGTGGCCAGAGAAAGTGACATTGGGATAATGAAGAAGGCCAGGGCATGAGCCATGTGGATATCTGGGAATATAAGATTTCTGATACCCCTCAGATCAGGTACCACCCTACTACTGCCTATGCCTAACTGAAATTTGACAACACTACCGTGGGAGCCTCCTGCTATCTGAGAGGAATTAACATGCACAAAGGGTACCAGGGTGGCATCCCGTGTGTGAAGGTACAGAACTTTCTTGCACATTGTCCTCTTTGATCCACAGGTTTTTTCAGAGTCTGACAAGGCAAGTAAGATGGAAGACAAGGAAGAGAACAATAAGTTTATCTCGGCTGACTCCCCTGAGGTACTGAAATCTAAGTCGTCAACATTATTATGCCCCGAGACTTGATTCACATAAGGTACTGAAGGTCCTAATAGAAAAAAGATAAAACTTTCCCTTGGCTGGTTTCTGGTCTGAGTTCACTGCTGATTGAGAGAGATGTGGGCGGGGCATGTGGACAGTGAAGAAGCACAAGGTAAATGCGGGACTTTGAGTCAAGTGTAGCCACTTCTCACATTTCTGCTCTGAAAAGAGTAACTCAATAGTATGGAAAATCCAAAATTAATTTATATTTGATTTTGTAATATATGATTTTAGTATGGAGACAGCAATAATATGAGCTGCTATTTGGCTTTGGTGAATAAAAAAACAAATTTTTATTCTTGGAGTAATCATATTGAAAGGGAGATTATAGGGGCCAAAATGCTGTCTATTTTGAGGAACAAACTAGTAACACTGTTCTCCTTTGGAAAGAGGTACAGGACACAACCTCCTTTCCCCTGAGGCTACCTCCTTATATGTGGGATTTATAGTGTTTTTTACTCCCAGCCTCTCCTGTGGGATTGCTTTGGTCATCAGCTAAGGAGACATATTTTTCCTATGGAATTAAGCAATTAGAGCATCTTAGATCCTAGCCTATCAGTGTCATCAATCCTCTGAAGCCTATGTCCTACAAGGTCTGTTACTTTCCTTACAGATGCATCATAAATCATATTTTCTCTCAAGCAGAATTATGGACATATCATACATAAAATGGGTAAATAAAAAGATGACTATGAGAAATTTTGTTCTTGCTTAGTATTCAGAATACCTGAGAGAGAATGATAACTTTCTGGAAGGTGGTATTACCTTTGAGGTAATGCATGGCCTGGAATCAGAGGAGGGAGTAAGAAGAAGAAAAATTTCCTAAAAGAAAAATTTTAAAAATTTCAAGTAGCTGCCATACTGATAGAAATTGGTTCCACTTTAAAAGGGTATTTTAAAAGGGAATTTTATAGTGTATGAATTAAATTTTAATTAAAAAATAAATTCATGCCCTGGCCAGTTTGGCTCAGCAGTTAGAGTATCAGCCCACGGACCAAAGAGTCACAGGTTTGATTCCGGTCAAGGGCACGTACCTTGGTTGCAGTTCAGTCCCCAGCCCTGGTTGGGTCATGCAGGAGGCAACAATCGATGTGTCTCTCTCTCACAAAAGTTTCTCTCTCTCGCTCTCTCTCTATCTCACCCCTCCCACCCTATCTGAAGATAAATGAAAAAATATCCTCGGGTAAGGATTATAAAAAATTTTTTTTTAAATAGCCCAGTTGGTGTGGCTCAGTGGTCAAGCATTGACCCATACACCAAGAGGTCACCAGTTCGATGACTGATCAGGGCACATGCCCAGGTTGTGGGCCAAATCCTCAGTGAGGGGCATGAAGGAGGTGGTTGGTCAATGTTCTCTCTCATCGATGTTTCTGTCTTTCCCTCTCCCTTCCTCTTCCTCTAAATCAATAAAAGAAAAGAAATTTTTTTAAATAAATAAATTCATTCATACTTATAGAGTTCCAAGGTCTTCTCCTGGCTTAGCAGTTCCTAGACAGAGTTTTCTACACCTTGGATTCCTACCACAGAATCTAGAATTCTTCCCAGAGAAGTCATTATACCACTTGCTTCTCCTCACCGCGATAGGTTAGGATCATCTTAAGTGTGAGAGCTGCGTGCCTTCTTGAGGAGGGTTAGTCTAAAAGTGGTAGGTAGTGTTCTTAAGACCTATATTTATACCCTCACAGACTCCCACATAGATATACATGTGTGTCACAAATTATAGTGTCTGATCATGGAAACAACTCTGGACCCCAATGACCTGGTTACCTGTCCCAGCAAGTCATTTTACCCTCTGAATCTTGACTTCTTGACCTGTGAAAGAGAACAGTAAAACCTTCCCTGATGCTTTCAGGCTATAGTGAAACAACATTGTATATTTGCCCTTTGTATTATCTATGACTTTGTAGAGCGTAAGGCACAAAAGAGCCTTATTAACTGAGATGCTGGGAAGGTAGAACCACCTCTCACTGGCAGAACTCTTCTTTTTATAGAGCCAGAGTCTCCAACCTCATGTCTCTGTGGTTCCAGAAGACAGCAACGCCACAGCACCTGAGCCTCAAGAAGAGGTAAGGAGGCCAGATACATAGAGACCAAGATGGGTGGTAAAATTGGACATTGGGACCACATTGGGAGTGGATAGAAGTTTGGCTACAGACTAGAATCTTCACTGTGGGCTACAAAGGGAACCTAGCAGTGAAAAATATCCTTAGGGCAAAGTCACGCAGGTGGGAACAGGGGAACCAAGAGTAAACTGGGACTTTGTGGTTTTTTATGCCCATTTCCCAACACTTGGCCTTGCATCTCTTGACCTCTTACCATAGCCCATCTCCTAAGTACTTATTTAGTTATATCTGAATTTATTTCAAAAAGGAATTAGGATATGAAAAGGTAAACACACACACACACACACAATACAGCAAAATAACTCAGAAGCATATTAGTGACAGTAACATAAAATGGAGTTATGAATTAGACAAATACATTCTATAAAATAAACTTACTAAGGTTGGATCACAAAATTGGTTCCAGACTTTCTAAACATCCATGAAGAGAAAAATCTGATCATTTTACCAATTCATGATGCTATTCCTTTAAACAACTCCTGCTACTAAAATGAAAAAGAAATTTCTCCTGTGAATCCTCATAAAGAGATGATGAAGGATGTAATGAATAATATCTGCAACAAGTCTTGACAATAATCCTAACAACCAGTTTCACTTCCCTCAACAGTGCATAACATGAAATATAGTTTGATAGAAACAAATTGAGTTTTTACCCTCCTTGAGTGGTTGGTGGGAGGGCAGGTAAGCGTCTAATGCACTCATGTTTACTTTCCAGGTATCTACAATTCAAAGTGCACAACTCTGAAGAGGAACTCTCAAGACCTCCCACATACACACACCTCCCAGAGAAACTCCTCAGAGGATATATAAGTCACAGGAACTTAAGATCCAATATTCATTTCTAGGTTCTCAAGTACGGGTGCTGGTGGTCTCTAAAGACCTAGCATTAATGGAGGCTGAGAAGCAGACTTGGGGGAGAAAGGGAGGCAGGCAGGCTTGGGAGAGGAGATCATTAGACTCAGGGAATATTTAATTCAGGTTTTAGCATTGTTATAATAATAAGACATTATATATTAATTAAAGCGGGGCTAAAATGACTATAACAAGCAAAAGCATTTATAGATTCACACACAACTCAGAGAACAGGAAACAAATCTTTGATTACCTCTCATTTTTCAAGACTTAAATCCAAAGGAACATATTTTCAAATTGTTAAATAAAGCAATATTCTATGTATGGATTCATTGTTTGACACAGGGAGGTTGTCCCATCCCAGCACACTGTTCTCCATGTAGACAAGGTTATTGATTCTACCCTAGGTTCAGAAAGCTTTAATCATATCACTGACCTCCAGCTCACCTGACATCCTAGCTATAACTATTTGATGATGCTATGGGCCACAGGCTCCTCAATTTAGATACCCTTGGAAAGGAATTACATTTTAGAGCAATATCTAGGGTTTATAGTCTGGTACTTGGTATAAGTAAGGATATGAGCAGAATGGAAGAATAAGTGGCACTCCAAATGAAGGGAAAGGATACAAAGTATAATATTATAATGGAAATGGTATAGAATTGAGAATCAGAAGTCCTGGAGTCAAGTTGTATCATTTGCTTCTGTGAAAACATTAAAAGCTAACTGAAGTCTTGCCATCCTGATAAACCTGGACACAAGTAAATGCTCATTGGTCCATCTTTGCTTCTGTTTCTAAGGGTGATGGATAATGTCACCTTTTGTTCAGTCATTCAGCAAGCATTTATTGAGTACTTGCTCTGTACCAAGCACTCCTGGGAACTAGAGAAATAATGATGAGTAGAAAAAGTAAGAACCATATATTGACGGAATATTAAGCAGAGAGAAGAATGGGCAGGATTTAGCAATGTGTTAGAAGAGGACATATGATGAAGACTCAAATACTAAAGAATTATTCTAGGTTAGGCTTGACAGACTAGAATTTGATGGTGCCATCCCCTAAAATGGTGACTGTAGGAGGAAGTGCATTGTATGTGGGTTCTCTATTTGCAAACAACAAACTGACACAATTATGTTCAAAGGATATTAGGCAGCTCATAGAACTGAAAGAACAACCATGCTGTAGAAAGGACAAGAACCAGCCCGGATGTCTGTAACAGGAATGTGTGGATTGCCCCTTTAGGCAGCTGTCATTGGAAGACTTTGCTTCAGCCACTCTGCCACTGTGTTCTTTCCAGATCCGGATACCTTGGAGAAAGAATCTGACTGGGCCCAGTTTGGGGGGGAGGCATGATAGTATCTACAAGGAAGACCAGCCCTGGCCGGTTTGGCTCAGTGGCTGGAGCATCGGCCCGCAGTCCAGAGAGGCCTGGGTTTGGTTCCCGCTAAGGGCACGAACCTCAGTTGCGGTTTGTCCCCGGCCTGGTTGGGTCCTGTGGGAGGCAGCCACTCGATGTGTCCCTTTCACATCGATGTTTCTCTCTCTACCTCTTTCTCCTTCCTACTCTGTCCAAACAAAAAATGGAAAAATGTCCTCGAGTGAGGACAAAAAAAAAAAAAAGACCAGTGGTGGGGCTGGGTTACAAAGAAATACAAGGAAACTTTAGGGGTGATAAAAATGTTAATTTTGATTGTGATAGTTTACTGGATGTATACATGTGTCAAAACTGAGCAAACTATGTTTTATGTGCAGATTTTGGGGTATCTCCTACAAATATTGGACACAAGTATGAGAACTTACAGGACTTTGCAGTAGATGCATCCGTTAGGAAACTGGAAATACATGTTTATATTTAGAAGTCATTTTTTCCAAGATCTAATCCTACTACTCTTATTTAAAAACCTTCAGAGGACCTCTCCTGTTACAATGTAGACAGAGTTGCATGCTCCCCTCTAAAAGGCCTACTGCCTATATTTTAATACCTCTCCTAGAAGACATCCCAGTCCTTTGGCACTCAGAATCACTGCTGTGAGTGATACTCCAGTGGTATTGGAAGGGTGGGGGAAATATTGGGAATACAGGCTCCTAGCTGTCCAAGGCCCTCCATGAGCTGTTTGGAATGCCCCATCATTCATCTGGTAAAACCCAGTTCAGACCTTTTCTCTGCAGGGCTTTCAATTTTCTCCTGGGAAACTGATTCTCTTTGAGGAGTTGCCAGAGAGAATTTCTAGGGATTAACACTCTTGTGGGGGGAGACAAGCACACAAGGTAACAACAGAGGCACAGCTGAAGTAGAAAATTTTGCTAAACTGTGAAATGGACACTTCATTTGTATATGGCGCTACTGGAGGTTCCAGGAGGGGAGGAGAAAGGGCTACTACGTTGGGCATGAGTAATAACTGTGCTTATCTAGGATAGATATTCCCAAGTAGGAACCAAACTGTTTACCGAGATTTACAGAATGGTAAAGTCCAGGGAAAAAAGGTCAGGACTTAGAATAACTGCCATCTTGGCAACAGCACAAGGAGCTGAAATCCAATCAAATTGGGTGGAGATGAATATCTCTTTTCCCCTGTCCTGAGGCCCTTGGAGGTCTATTGACAAAGGGATGGCTGCTCTGATTTCTGAGGTTTAGCCTTTAGTCCTTGGAGAACACTGGTAAGTCACCACATGAGGCCTCATTCATCATTTACCTGTATGCATCTACGTAGAATTAATTGCAAGAACATCACCCAGTCCCTGCCTTCTAGCAATTTGAAGGATAATATTGACAGACTACATAATATATCTAGAGTACACTAGAAACATCCAGGACATCTAAGATACACCAAAAAGCAGAGTATAGGCACTGCTTACAGTGTTGTTTATTATATGTTAAATTGGTGTGGAGCGTGTGCATATTGGGTCCTGTTTTTCTGCATGTTTGCACTTTTAAAATGAATGGTATGTGCCTACAGGGATAAAATCACATACCAGCAAAACTTTTTTTTAATATGTTTTTTAATTGACTTTAGAGAGAAAGGAAGGGAAAGACAGAGAGAGAGAAACATTGATCTGCTGCCTCCTGCATGACCCCTATTGGGGATTGAACCCGCAACAAAGGTATGTGCCCTGACCCAGAACCTGGGTACATGGGACAACGCTCAACCTACTGAACCACACTGGCCAGGCCAGCAAAACTTTGCTTGTGAGAGACTTTAAATTGTGAAAGTAACATAGCAGATCAGTTCATGGCCTCTGAGAGTCTGTGGTTCTACCAGTTTTCAATATGTAATGGAATATATGCTATGAGAAAAACCAAGATACATGAAAGATTTCAGCCTTACCTGGAATTTATGGTCAGCTTGTCAGTAAATGCAAGCAATTGTCCACCTTTAGAATTTAACCCTTAGGATCTGAATTTCCTTTTCTCTTGAATATTCTTTTATCTGAAGACCAGCCAGCTGACCTTTTTATTAACATATGTACATCTTGCCTATGTGTTATTCTCATTGCCTTTCTTGGTTGGAGTGGCAGTTTTCCCACCCTAGGCTTTCTTCTTCACTGATCACTGCTATGCCTTTAAAAATATATTTAAATAAAACAAATTGATCAACTTACTGTTTTATCCTCAGGGTTTGTTTTTTTCTTTATTGATTTTAGAGAGACAGGAAGGGAGAGGGAGAGAGAGAGAGAGAGAGAGAGACATCGATGAAAAAGAACATCAATTGACTGCCTCCTGCATGCCCTCCACTGGAGATTGGGCCCACAACCTGGGCATGTGCCCTGACCTGGAATCGAACCAGCGACCTCTTGGTGCATGGGTCAACACTCAACCAGTGAGCCACACCGGCCAGGCTATCCTCAGTTTTTACCAACCAAATAACATCTTTAGGAATGAAAGCAACTACCCTTGCTTATTTCATGTCTTTGCTTTTTTTTTTCACTCAATACCTCTATTAGCTGATACTTTTCTTTCCATCTTGGTCTCCCATATGAACATGCACAAACCCTCTCTATCTATCCATCTATATAAATACTGATTCCCAAACCTAGTGAACTCTTTACAGAAATAAGAAGTAAGCACAGAAGTCTGTATCACTGGGATGTAAGGCAGAATAACCACAAGAGTTTTTTGGTTTGTTTTTTTTATCCTCACTCGAGGACATTTCCATTTTTTATTTAGATAGAGTGGGAGGGAGAGAGAGGAAGGGAGAGAGAGAAACATCGACGTGAAAGGGACACATCGAGTGGCTGCCACTCGCACGACCCAACCAGGGCTGGGGACAAACTGCAACCAAGGTACATGCCCTTAGCGGGAACCGAACCTTGGCCCCTCCGGACCTGAGGCCGACGCTCTAACCGCTGAGCCAAACCAGCCAGGGCACCACAAGAGTTTTAACACCAAGTAGGAAGCCAGGATAATAGCTAGCATTTATTGAGCTCTTACTATGTGCCAGATAAGGTTCTAATGCTTTAGATCAGCAACTTTCTACCAATGTGCCACAATTTTTTTTTTTCTTTTTTTGTACGTGCCCCCATCGGGAACCAAACCCGGGACTCTCTGGTCCGCAGGCCAATGCTCTAACAACTGAGCCAAACCCGCCAGGGCCACAGCTATTTTTAAACAGTTAATACTTGACTATGTAGTCAGGGGCATTGACCTCTTTTTCCTTAGATTGTCAAAAGTAACAGTAGCCAAGCCCCGGCCTGTTAGGCTCAGCGGTTAAAGCATCGGCCTGTGGTCCAGAGAGACCTGGGTTCGGTTCCTGCTAAGGGCATGTACCACAGTTGCAATTTGTCCCCGGCCCTGGTTGGGTTGTGCGGTTGGCAGCCACTCGATGTGTCCCTTTCATGTGGATGTCGATGTTTCTCTCTCTCTCTCTCTTCCTCTCTCTCCCTCCTATTCTATTTGAACAAAAAATGGAAAAAGGTCAATACTAAAAAAAAATAACAGTAGCCAACACAATAGTCATCTACTGTGAAGGAATCAAATACCTATTTTTATATGCCATAGAATTTTAGTAATTAGTTTATGTGTACCATGAGATGAAAAGAGTTGAAAATCACTGCTTTAGATGTATTAACCATTCCATCCTTCCTATATGAGACAATTATTTTCCCAATAAAATAAATGAAACACAAGTAATTTGTCCAAGATCACACAGCAGAGTATATTCCAGAGCCTGTGTTTATCATCCTTAGTCATTGAGTTCATCATTAATTTGGTAACATTTCCTGCCACAAAGAAGTGAGTCAAGAAGTGGCTAAAGTATGGCATTGATTAAAGCGAGGTCCTTACCTTGTGCAAGGACCATGTCTATGAAATGAAATGGTTTTATAGGCATTATCAGTTTTAGTCCCCTATTTCAGGGACGAGGAAACAGATTTTAGAGATGGTAAGTAATTTGCCCAAAGTCACACGACTAACAAGCTGCGGAGCTGAGACTGTTTGAATCCAAAGTCCACGCCGCTCCACTGCCTTGGATGAATATGGACAAGGAGGATCCGGATGGGGATCCTGTCTCCATCTGGCCTCCTGGATTCCCGGCCCGCGGTGTGTCACTACGTTACCTTACGCTCCAAGTTTCTGGACACAAACCTAGTATTTAAGTACATTATGTGGAAACCCAAGTAAATGTAATGTTCCACATTCGTTGAAAATTCGAATAATGTCGATCGCGAGGAAAGCGGGCGGATCCCAGCTAGTCCAGGGTTCAGACCCCATACCCCCCAGTCCCCAGCGTCGGGGCGAGGGAGGAAGCGGCTCCGGAAGGAGGGTAAAGTGACAATCGGAGAAGGAAAAGCAGACTTTCCTCCTGGGGGAGCAGAGGCGTCCCGCGGGCAGAGGGAACCTGCAGAGGGCGGTTTCTCTCCTCTTTTCCTGTCCCACCCATTCGGCGGGTCCCCCACCCCCACTCGCCGGCCTCCGCAGCTAACTCCGCGCGCCTCTCCGCCGCTTCCTGCAGCCGGTGTCCCTCGGTGGGTCTGCGCGGATCTCTGCGCTTCCGCCCCCGTCCAGCTCACAGGGACGCGCGCAGTGGCGCCGGCCCTTCCCCGGCAGCCCGTCCGACTGGTAAGGTGAGCACGCGGAGGAGGGGACCGGGGAGGGCGGAGAGCCAGGCGAGCCCGGTCGCCCACACTCACGCAGCAGCCACCTCGGCCCGGCTGGAACTGAAACCGAGAGCGGCCGGAGCTCGGCGCGCAGCTGGAGCTCCCGTCGCGGTTCTGGGCCACCTCGAGCGCAGGGAGCACGCCGGTGCCGGTAACGCAGGAGGGCTGAGGCCCGGGTCCAGGGGGCGGGGCCGCGGGGTGAGACCCGACGTCCGCAGAAGTATCGAGGGTCCCGGGCGGCGCCCGCGGCTTGGGCTCGGCCAAGTGGGGTTTGACCCGGTGGCCAGCTAGTGGGGTTCGGTAGAATGTGCACCGACGGGGCCAGTGGACAATGAAGGGAGGACTGAGGGGAGTGGCCAAGCCCAGTGGACCGGTTGTCTCAGGCCAAAAGGCCACTAAGGACCCTTACCTCCAGTTTCCTTTGCCGGGTTCACCTACCACCACTGTCTCAGCCCCCACTCGGGCCGAGCCTGGGCGCAGGGCCTGACACCTAGAGAATGGCTCCGCCCAAACTCACAGAACTGGGTACCCGTGACCGAGATTTGGTGAAACTGGGGCCGCTGCTAGTTTGTATTCCTGTGCCTAACTTTCTCAGCTTCAGAAATCTCTAAAGCAGATGTCATGACCCAGTGAAAGGATCTCGGGGTAGAACGTTCAAAGGTAATGCAGCCCAAATACAGGTGGTCTCACGGATCAGCTCTTGATAATTGAAGCTTGAGGAGATAGTCAGGGAAACCAGCAAGGGTTTAGGACTAGCTCCACAGGGAAAAGAGGGGATAGGGAAGGGACTCAGAAAAATCTGGCACCAGTGGCTTTTCTGTAATTTCCAGTCTCCAGCCCCAGTCAGTGGCCCACCCACCTCATTCCTGTATTTTCCCCTCTTCCTACAGATCAGCTCATTCCTCAAGGTGCCCATCCACTTGCTGCAATGTCTAGCCTCCCAATCAAGCCTTCTCCAGGTCCGCAAGGTGCCCATCCACTTGCTGCAATGACTAGCCTCCCAACCACACCTTCCCCAGGAGGTAGGTGAATGCCTTTTCCTGTAGAATGGTAGACACTTGTTCAACACCCTCACCCCCAGCCCAGTCCTTGAATTCCCTGAGGCCTCAGACCAGATGAGATGACCCTCCCACCTCTTTCTGGCTGCTTCACACAGGAAAAGCTACTGAGAGGAAACAGAAGGCAACTAGAGTGTGCACTTTAGTGCAGTATGCATCTAAGTCTCATGGATCTGGGCCAGTTCCTGGCACTACCACTTAAAGCTTTGTTACCGAGTGAGTTATCTAACTTCTAAGCTTGTTTCCTCATTTGTAAAATGGAGGAAATAGTACCTATCTTATGGGGTTATTTGTGAAGATTAGATAAGACAATTCCTATAAAACACCTAGTACAGTGTCTCAGAGCTAGTAAGCATTTGATAACATTGGTTATTGTTATTATTATTATTATTATTATTATCATTATTAGGTATTTGTTAGAAACCCATCTTTTCCTGGAAAGGAATTCTGCCTGCTTTCTAATGTTCACTCCTCTGATGATACACTCCGGTATCAAAAACCCATTGTTGCCCGGCTGGTGTGGCTCAGTGGTTGAGCGTCAGTCCATGCACCAAGAGGTCGCTGATTCAATTCCCATTCAGGGCACATGCCCAGGTTGTGGGCCAAAACCCCAGTGCAGGGCATGCTGAAGGTGGCCAATCGATCTCATGGATATTTCTATCTCTCTCACTCTCCTTTTCTCTCTCTCTAAGAATCAATAAAGGAGAAAAAAAAATTTTTTTTTAAAACCATTGTTACTGCCCTGGCCGGTTTGACTCAGCGGTTGGAGCATTGGCCTGCGGACCAGAGAGTCCCGGGTTCGGTTCCTGCTAAGGGCATGTACAAAAAAAAAACATTGTTACTGAAGCTATGCTCTCATCACATTGAGAATAGATTCTCACCTTTCGTTTCATAACCAAACCAAGCTGGTTATGAAATAATACATTCGTTGATTATTTTCTTTATGTGCTAGGTAGGTTAACTTGGTTGGTCCATACACCTTTGTTTTCCTCTACAATTTCACTTGTCATTAGGACAGACATTCTCTGTTTTACTGATATGGAAACAATTGAGTGACAACCCCAGGGAAAGCTAAAACAGTGTCCTCTATGACTAGTGATGCACACATTTCAGACTGTGAGTTGTCTGGTGAGAACAAAGAAAAGGGAGAAATAGGTAGAAGTTTAGATTGGTCAGCAAAGGCTTCATGAGTGGAGATGGGGTAGAGCCCCTTACCCTTGAAGGATAGATGAGGTATGTACAGTCAAAGCGGGGTATAGCCAGTATTCCAGATAAAGGCAGCACCATGTGTGAAACTGCAGAGATCACATTTCCCCTGGAGGGAGTTCTGGAGGAGAGGACTGAGAACCTCCAAATAAACCTGCCCATAGGGAAACAAGTTGATGCTTTGGTAGCTAGCTGAGGAATCAGCACTTGGGCAAAAGAGGAACTATTTACATTCTTTTTTTTTTTTTTTTAGTTTGTGGTAAATTATACATAATGTGTTACCATTTTAACCATCTTTTGGTGGACTGTTTAGTAATATTAAGTGTTAATTCACAGTGCTGTGCAACCATCACCTACCATCTATCTCCAGAACTTTTTCATCTTCCTAAACTGAAACTCTATGTTCGTTAAACAATAGCTCCACACTCCCTCTCCCACCAGCCCTTGGTAACCACCACCATTATATTTTCTATCTTAGTATAAATTTGACTAAGTACCTTATATAAGTGAAATCATACCGTTTGTCCTTTCGTGTCTGACTTATTTCACTTAGCATGACATCTCCAGGGTTCATCCATGTTGCAGCATGTGTCAGAATTTGTTTCCTTTTTTAAGGCTGAATAATATATTATTTATATACATATACATATATGTGTGTATATATGTTGTATATTTATCCATTTGTCCATTGATAAATACTTGGGTTGTTTCTATCTTTTGGCTATTGTGAATAATGTTGCTATGAACATGGGCGTACAGATACCTCTCCAAGTTCCTGCTTTCAATTGTTTGGGTTATATATATCCAGAAGTAGAATTATTGAATCATGTGGTAATTCTGTGTTTAATATTTTGAGTAAAACTGTTTCAGAGTCATACTGCTTGTCACAGTGTCTGCATCATTTTACATTTCCACCAGCAGTGCACAAGGGTTCCAATTGCTCTACATTCTCATTACTTTATATATATGTATATATGCACACGCACACACACATGCACATGTAGTAGCTATTTTTTTTTAGTTTAAATTTATTTATTTATTTTTGTTACAGATGTTTCCCCTATTGACACCCCCATTTTTCTCCCATTGACATCCTCCTCTCAATTCTGCCCCCCCAGCATTATTGTCTATGTCTATGTTTATGCATATATGCATATAAGTTCTGCGGTTTATCTCTTCCTTCCCACCCATCCCCCTCTTCTGAGTTTTGTCAGTGTGTACCCTACTTCTATGTCTCTGGGTCTATTTTGTTCATCAGCTTGTTTTGTTCTTTATATTCCACAAATAAGTGAGATCATGTGATATTTGTCTTTCTCTGATTGGCTTGGTTCGCTTAGGATGATGCTCTCCAGGTCCCTCCATGTCATCTCAAAGGATAAGAGATCTTTCTTTATTACAGCTGTAGAGTATTCCATTGTGTATATGTACCACAGCTTTTTTATCTACTCATCTATTGATTGGCACTTGGACTGTTTCCAGATCTTAGTGATTGTAAATAGTGCTGCTAGGGGTACATATATTCTTTCTGATTGGTGTTTTAGGCTTCTTAGGTTATATTCCAAGAAGTGGGATCATTGGGTCAATTTTTTTTTTTTTTTGTATCCTCACCCAAGGACATTTTTGCATTTATCTTCAGATAGAGCGGGAGGGAGAGGGGGAGGAAAAGAGAGAAACATCAACGTGAGAGACACGTCGAGTAGTTGCCACCCACACAACCCCAACCGGGGCCAGGGACAAACTGCAACCAAGGTATGTGCACTTAGCAGGAACCAAACCCAGGACTCTCTAACCGCTGACGCTCTAACCGCTGAGTCAAACTGGCCAGGGCCCTGGGTCAAATTTTAATGAGTGTGATGTGGTATCTCATTGTGGTTTTGATGTACATTTCCCTAATGACTAGTGATATTGAGCAGCTGTATATCTTCTTTGGAGAAATGTCTATTCAAGTCCTTTGCCCATTTTTTAAAAACGCTTTTATTGATTTTTAGAGAGAGGAAGGGAGAGGAAGAGAGAGAGAAACATCTGACTGCCTCCTGCATGCCCCCTACTGGGGATAAAGCCAACAACTCAAGTGTGTACCCCAACCAGGATTCAAACCAGCCACCTCCTGGTGCATGGGCTGACCCCCAACCAACTGAGCCATACTGGCCAGAGAACTTGACCTTTTTTTTTTCTTTTCTTTTCCTTTATTGATTTTAGAGAGAGAGGAAGGGAGAGGGAGAGATAGAAACATCGATGAGAGATAACATCGATTGGCCACCTCTTGCATGCCCCCCACTGGGGATCGGGCCCAGAACTGGGCATGTGTTTTGACCAGGAATCAAACTGGCGACCTCTTAGTGCATGGGTCGACGCTCAACCACTGAACCACACTGGCCAGATGAACTTGCCCATTTTTAAATAGGTTTGTTTTCTTGTTGTTGTCGAGTTGTATATTTACATTCTTGACTCAACTAGTGACATGAGTGATGTGGTATTTTAAGATTTATGCAGTCCCCTATCCACTGGGTCCAAGAAAAATTAAGTTTAGAGATAGGAAAGGAAAAATCACAAACAGGGTGAGATCATTGAGGGTCTTGCATCCCTTCCCCATGTCCCCACCTCCGTCCCCTCAATCCTTTCCCCCTGTCAGTCTGTAAAGATCTCCTAAAGGAGATAACCTCTTGGAATGTTGAAATTGAGGGCCGCATTATGACTTTAATGGGCCCTTGGCACTTTTGCCTTTGTGGGCTTGTTCCTCCATTTTCAAAGATATATATTAAAAATTGTATTGTACACCCTAGGTGGTATGGCTCCGTGGTTAGAGCATCGGCTCACAGACCAAAGAGTTGCAGGTTCGATTTCAGCCAGGGACACATACCTCAGTTGCAGTTCGGTCCCCAGCCTTGGTTGGGGTCATGCGGGAGGCAACCAATCGATGTGTCTCTCTTACACCCATGTTTCTCTCTCTCTTCCTCCCTCCCACTCTATCTGAAGATAAATGGGAAAAAAAATATCCTTGGGTGAGGATTTAAAAAAATTTTTTTTTTGTTTTACAACTGTGTTGGTTTAAGGAAAAATATAATAAAATCATTAACAGCTGCATTTATAATTAATAGTTGGTTGATATAACAATATCACAATTTCCTTGATCTAAATGTTCAATTTTCTTCTTGTGAATTTAAAAGAAATTCAAATCATGAAAACCATTTTCATGGGCCCCTAGAAGTATTGTGGACCCTAGGCACTGTGCCGGCTGTGCCTAGCACATAGGTCACCCTGTTGGAAGTAGGATGGAGTGGAACCTGACATTGTGGGCTTTGCCTGCCCACGAGTAAAGCCCATCCCTTTCTACCTAATCCCACTAGCTACTTCCTAGATTTTCCTCATTCTGGATTAGACACTCAGTATTTTTGGTCTCATTTTTCCACCACAGTCCTGTGAGCACGTTTTATTTTCATTTTATAGAAGCAAAAACTGAGGTTTAGGGAAGTTAAGAAATTTTCAGTGGTTAAGAAATTCTCCCAAGGTCCTGTGGCTAACAGTGGCAGAGGCGGGAGTTTGTGCCGACTCTGATTTACTTCAGAGCCTGTGTTCTTTCCGTCATGGTATACTGCTCTTAAAGTGTCGCTCCACCCACCGGCCAGGACACATGAAAGAGAAAGAAGGAGAAAGGGAGCAGAATTCCAAGGCTGGTTCCCATGGGAAGGAGGATTGGGGGAGCCGCCCTGTGTTGGGCAGCTCTAGAACAAATAAGTAGGTTGGCAGACTCAGGTGGC